CACGAACATCAGAGAAGAGTTTGTGAATGAGAACAGGGCAGCGGTCAGGGCGTGCGCTTTAAAAGGTGCGATCAACGCAGAGGCCAGAAAGCGTCCGACGCGGTGAGAGCTGCTCGTCACAGAACCTCAGTGCTTCCTTCAGTCCTTTCTCTGCGACCTGCACACAAACACATGCAGGGATGTTTCACAGCTTCGATGCTAACAAAGATGCTCCTCACCTCTGATTTGTATAAATGAAACTGAGTTGAACTGAATCTGGGGAGAACAGTAATCTGTCATCTGCAGACACACCAGCTAACAATCCTCACTGCTGCCACATGTGTGACAATACTGACCCCTAGTGTTCGGTTGGGTTTTTGCATGGTGACGTTTGGTCGACTGAAACTGAAACTTTTCATCTCAGACTCATCCTGATGCCACTTTTAGCAAATTACGTTCAGCTGTGAGGGAGATGCAGTAGAATCAGCAGTGCAAGAGTAAAAGTAAATATACTTTCAGGAGTACTTAGAGGAGGACCAGAGGCCTGGGGAGCAGCTCCTGCACTCGTCTGGACCAAGAGTTCAGATGTTCTGCAGAATCTGCTGCAAACACATCAGACGTCACCTAATTTTGTAATAATCAGCAAGTCTTAATACACGGCAAGCACACTTCAACCAAACTGAGGTTAAACATTGACTCGAGCATTGATCCAGTGTCCAAAGTCCACAGTTTTGCTGTTTGCTTTGCAGGTGTGTGCACACAGGAATGTTTGAGGTTGCACAGATTCGCTCACAAATACATAAGTGGAGTAAAAATAAGAAGTTTGAAGTCCGAAGTTTCTATGCAGTCAGTGTGTTTGAGCTCCAGAAAGAAACTCAGTCTTTCACAGCAGGAATGAAGCTACACTAACAGGAAATTATTTATCTGGAGTTCTTCTTCTTCTTCTTTATCCTGGTAAAAAATCTCATTTCCAAGAGAGACCTGGTATCATAGCAACAAAAGTCAAACTACACGTACCACATA